CACTCTTGTCATCCTAGTACTTGGGGGAGGCTGAGGCAGGAATATTGCCATGAGTTCAAGACCAGCCTGAGACCCTGTCTGTCTCAAAAATCAAAGCGAAACTACAAACAACAACAATAACAACAACAACAAAACACTGTTGATGACAGTACCTTCATCCACAGTAAGTTATGCTCAGGCCCCCAGGATTTTCTGGAGGCCAGAAGTACTCCCTAAATATAAATTTATCCAGGCATGGTGGCACATGCCTAAAATCCAGCTTTGGGAGGCTGAGTCAGGAGGATCGAAAGTTCAAGTTCCAGCTGGGCAACTTAGTGGGACCCAATTTCAAAATAGGGTGTACAGGTGAGGCCTGTAAGGCGACAAGTAGAAGGAGAGTCGGGGAGAAGCCAGGAGGCAGGTAGGAAGGAGGGGAGCGTCTTCGGTAGGGCTCCCTGGGTGCTTCCTGCCCTTTCATGTGGGGTGAAGAAGGGAGACACATTCACTGGGGTTCACTGTCCCCCCCAACTGTGGGAGGTGAAGCTGCCTTCAAGGCCTCCCCTGTATTCCCAGGTGCCCTGACCTAGTCAAGAACATTCTCCCCTCCCTGGGCCCTGAGGTGGGATGTGAGCTTGCTCTTCTGGGGGAACCCGGGGCGGGGCACACAGGACACCTGCTAGCTAGGGATCTACCCTTATCTCCATAGGGGACCCACACTCCTACTTCCTGTCTCTGTAGATCTGACAACTTGAGGGACCTCCTGGGAGCAGGACATGTAGTGCGTGTCCTTCTGTGTCTGGCTTAGTTCCCTGAGCAGCCTGGCCCCAAGGTCCAGCCACGCTGAAGCAGTGTCAGGATTTCCTTCCTTTTATGTATCTGAGTAATATTCCACTGCAGATGGTCCACGCTGTGTACCCGTTCATCTGTCTATGGATATGTGGGTTGTTTCCACCTTTTAACAGTGAGTTGTGTCACTGTGGACACAGCTGTGGATGTTTTTACACATCCATGTGTTTTCTTCTCTCTGGGGGACATACCTAGGTGTGGGATTGGTTAGGTCACAGTGAGAGTCCATATTTAATATCCAGCTTGCTTTTTCCCCGTACTGGGAACTGAACCTAAGGCCTTCACACTGAGCTACACCCCCAGCCGTTTAGTTTTTGAGACAGGGTATCCCTAAGTCAAGTCACCAAATTACCCAGCTTGGGCTTGAACTTGCCAGCTTCCTGCCTCAGCCTGCCAGAACGCTGAGATGACAGGCGTGTGGCAACTGCTTTAGTCTTTGCAGACAGGGAGACTGTGGCTCGCAGTGGCCGGGACCGCCCTCAGGGACAGAGACGAGCAGTCCACCAGCAGCCCCGCAGCGGGGCGTGGCTGGGTCCTCGCCCTCGCCCACCTGCACCTGCGTGGACTCCGGCCTGGAGCAGCTGGGTGGGGCTTGCGGGCCGAGCTCCTCCCTTTCTCCTCCCCAGGAAGCAGCGGACCCCAGACCGCGCCCAGACCGGCCCCTAGCACTGGAGGACCCAACTCTCCCACCTTCCGGCGGCGTGGCACAGGGACTGCGGAGCAGGTCACCCCTGCGCGGACGCTCACCTGGCTGGGGCGGCAGTTGCGTCCCCAGCACACACGGGGGCGGTGGGGGGAGGACAGGAGGAGGAAGAAGGGGGAGGAAAGGAGGAAGAAGAGGAAGTGGGAAGGAGGAAGAGGAGGAAGGAAGATCTGGGAGGGGGGAGGGGGACAGGAGAAAAAGGGGAAGAGGAGGAGAAGGAAGAAGAGAAGGCAGGAGGCCCGGCTGGTTTCCTTTTGAGCCAGGCTTCGCTCCCACCCTGGACCCCTTTCTGGGAGGCCTCAAGGCTGCTCTTGGAACTCCGCAGGCCCCTCCCAGGGCACTACCTGGCTTGTGGCCCTCACACAGGTGCCCAGTGGCCTCAGGACCTGTTACTGTGGACAGTGTCTGGACGTGGTCTCTGGGGGAGTCCTGGGCACTGCAGGGGACTGAGCAGCGTCTGGCCTCCACCCCATGCCATGCCAGGGATTCCCTTTCATGACAACCACACGTGACCCCAGAATTGTTCAGTGTGGGGCGGGGCGGGTCAGAACTGTCCCACCCGAGCCCATCCAGTGGGTTGTGACAGCGGGAGGGGAGGCGGCAGAGGAGTGACTCTGAGCTGTGCGGTCCCACTTGGCAGCCAGTGGTATTCAAGGTAAAACACAGGCAAGCTCCAAGCATGGCGTCCCAGTGAAAATGCAGGACACCACACTGGTCACTTCACATGGAGGGCAAGGCAACATGTGACACTCCAGTGACAGTGTCCGGTGAATGTCACCTGCTTTCTCTGGCTCTCCATGTGGCTACAACTGCTTCTTGTCTTCTAGGTGCTTGGGAAGATCTTTTGTTTTCGCAGGGCTGGCACAACGCTTGCTTGGCAAGCACTCACCACTGAGGTCCACCCCAACCATTCTTACTTTGAGATAGGGGCTAAGTTGTTCAGACCGACCTCCAACTTCTGATCCTCCTGCCTCAGCCTCACAGGTGGCGGAGATGACAAGCGTGCCTCACGGAGCCTGTCCAGGCTTCATGTTTTGCACTTTTTTGTTTGAGACAAAGTCTCCCTATGAAGCTCAGGCTGGCCTTGAACGCACTATGTGTAGCCCAGGCTGGCCTACAAACCCAAGGAGATCCTCCTGCCTTAGCCTCTTACGTGCTGGGATGACAGGCATGAACCACCACATCCAGTTGGAGACTTTTTGACCCGCCACACCCAGGAGCCTTCACAGGGTCAGAGAAGGAAATGGAGCTGTCCCAAGGCCGAGGCTGCTCCCATTTGGGAGGATTCCACAGGGTGAGTTGGGAGGGCAGTCAGTCACCCATGACCCCAAGTTAATATATCAAACATTGAGCTCAGGTGGGGCTTGCTGGGGAGTGTTTGCCTAGCATGCTTAGCATGTGAGAAGCCTTGGCTTCCACCTCCAGCAGCGCATAAAAAATGAAACTAGAGCCAGGGATGGTGGCACACTCATGTCATCCCAACACTCTGGATGACTTGAGGCAGGATCACAAGTTCTAGCCAATTTAGTGAATCCATCTCAAAGTAGGAAAAACAAGGGCTGGGGATGTAGCTCAGTGCGAAGGTGCTGCATTCCATCCACAGTAGTCGGGGGGAAAGGGGGGAGCTGCATAGGGAGGACAATAGGGAGACAGACATGATCAAAATGTGAGCTCCATGTATAAAGTGCCATAATGTGCCAGGTGTGGTGGTGCACACCTGTCAACCCAGCGCTTGGGAGGCTGAGGCAGGAGGACAGCCATGAATTCAAGGGCAGCCTGGGCTACACAGTGAGACCCTGGCTCAAAAAAGCCAAATATAAATAAGTAAAATGCATCAATAAAAACATCCATATTGGAAAAACAGTGAAATGAGTTTCAATAAATCCATTATGTGGGCACACTGGTGTCCCACCTGCCCGTGACTCTAATTGTTCAAGCGACCTGATGGCAGGTCACATACTGTGTGGCCAGAGTGCATGGCACACTGGGCTGGGCTGGGCACTGTGGAAGTTAGGGTCTTCTGGCTGCTGCCTGCACTCTAGGACGCAGGCAGGCACACATGGTCAGGGAGCGTTACCTTACTTTGTATGGGGATGGAACCCAGGCCCCTTATACTGATCTCCATGCCCAGCCCTTTTTATATTTTATTCTAAGACAGGGTCTAAGTTGCCCAGGCTGGCCTCGAACTTGCCATTCTGTCTCAGCTACCCAGAGTGCTGGGATTATAGATGTGAACCACACCTATTTTTTTTTTTTAGACAGTGTCTCATTATTTAATACCGACCAGCCCTAAACTTGTGATCCTTCTGCCTGTCTCTAGAAGTTTGGGCCACCCCACCTGGCTTCATGCTATTTAGGATGAAAATCTGAGCTGAAAATAGCTGGCGATGCCAAAACATCAAAGCCAGGTGTGGGGATCCACACCTGTCATCCCAGCCCTCTGGGAGGCTGAGGCAGGAGGATCACAAGTTCCAGCCTATCTGGGGAAATTAGCAACTGAGACCATGTCTCAGGATAAAAAGGGTTGGGGATGCAGTTCAGTGCAAAGGCCCTGGGTTCCACCCAGCACCCTAAGGAAATAAATAAGTGAACAGAACCTGAGGATGTGGGGACCCTACTGTATCTGACCTCTCATGACCTTTCCCCCTCACGAGGAATCTCAAATAGGGCTCAGGATCTCACCTACAGTATCGTACACTTTTTTGGTCTAAGTGTTGGAAATCTGGAAAGTGGTTTGAATCTGTCTGCAGGGACGCCCAATGTGCACACAGACACACACCCCTAGAAGGGTCTCTTCTGGAGGCAAAGACCAGCCAGCGGCTCCCTGTGGACCAGAAGCCCCGGCTTCTGCAGAGGACCGCAGGGGCCCAGCCAGCCTGCTCTGCAGCCAGCAAAGCTACTTCTGGTCCCCAGGAAGCATGGTGGGCTGGGAGGGGCCCTCTAGGTCTGTGGGAGAGGCAGGGCTTCAGCAACCTGGGGACCCCAGGGCAGGGTCTTCCAGGAACCCCAAGGCCCTGGAAGTAGGATGAGACCTCATCCCTTGTCTTTAGCCAGCTGTGGCCTCGAGGTTCCAGGTGTGAGGATGCGGGGCTGGGAGAGGAGGTGGCAGGCGCCCACCAGGTTAGATCGTCAGAGTGGCTGCAAGTGCAGGGGAGGCAGGCCCTGCTTATCTGCCAGATCTGCCAGGTTTCGACCGCAAAGGGCTGGAAACCAGCGCTTCCTCTCTGCAGAGCCGCGTCAGCTCTGGGGGATGGGGTCCCCTGGGACAGTGAGGCAGCAGGGGACCGGGCTCCTCCCCATGGGCGGGTGTGCAGGTGGCAGAGCACTCTCCATGGAGACCAGGCCGGAGTCTCGGGCCCCCGCCAGCCCTGTCCCTTGTGCTGGTCCCCTCCGGCTCCCCAGCCCCAGCCAGCTGCTTGCAACCCTGAGGCTGAGTCAGGGAAACAAAGGCGACAAAGAACCAGAGTGGGCGTGATGTGCGGTTTCTTCCCATTTTGTTTCATTGTGTTTAGACCTAAGGAAGCAGGGTCCCGATGACCCCGATGACAGCAGGCACGCATCACCCCTCCCCTGGGGACACAGACACCAAGGCTCTTGGGGTGGAGGGCAAGAAGCACAGGCCTGTCCTGGCTGGGCCAGAGCACGGCGGCCCAGATGCCAGGAGAGGTGGCTGGCGGGATGAGGCAGGCGCTGTCACACAGCAGTGCGCGTCGGTGTGCTGGGCTGGTTGAGGCGCAGGGTTCTGCACAGCCAGCCGGCGAAGTCCACCTCTTCCACCTCGGAGCGCTTGATGAAGGTGTGGTTCTGCGAGGGAGGAAGGGAGGGCTGCCGAGGGGACGAGGGAAAGGAAGAGCTGCCAGGCAGAGGGCCAGCTCTGGGCTCCTCTGGTGACGGCACCGGAGCAGGGGTCCCTCTCCCAGGACGGCTGGAGGCTCCCGAGCTCTTACCATGAGCATCTTCAGGTCCGCGCGCTCCGCTGGGTTCTTAATGAGGCTGGGGATGAGGACAAAGACAGTCAGGGGTGCCACACAGGCCAGCGCCAGGCCCATCGGAAGGCTCTGGCACCTGGCCTTGCCTGGACAGACAATGGGTCCCTCGCTGCCCTGGGGAGGGCCTGGAGGGTCTGAGGAAGGGAGAAGGCAGGAAACCCCGCTGCCCATCACTAGTGCTGCAGCTACCACAGCTCAATTCCTAATAAAACCCATGCTTGGCGTCCAGCATCAAAATGGAACTTTATCCTTCAAAAAAGCAGAACTTTCAGCAGTTTTGCAGCTCAAATCAGCTCAGGGCCAAAGGCTCTTCAGCCATAGAGATGCACTGTGGCCAGGTGTGGTGGCCCATGTCAGTAATTCCAACACTTGGAAGGCTGAGGCAGGAGGATTGCAGATTCAAGCCATGCCTGGGCTACTTAATGAGACCTTGTCTCAAAATACAAAGGGCTGCGATCTAGCTAAGTGCAAAGGCCCTAGATTCAATCCTGAGTACAGCAAGAAAAAAAGAAAAATGACAGAAAAAATCTACACAGAGACAGGGATGTTTACTGCGCTGCTAGACAGTTGTGCAAAGGGCCTGTGGTGCCCTTCCCCACCCAAGAGTGCCTGATGGGTGCCACCCTCGGACCCTGCATGTGTGCACAAAGCCCTGCTACAGATCCCACTGGGTCCTTCGAGGGAGGCTCCCTCAAAACCTGCTGGCTTGGCAGCATTGGGACTGCAGCCATTAGAAGCAGGGATTAGGAGCCGCCGGGGGCCTTTGGGTCACACAGGGCCTGAAATCTGGTTTGCAGGGGGTCTGCCGTGGACCACCCGGGACTCCTGCCGCTGCATTCGGGTCTGAGTGGGTGGCTGGGGTGTATACCTTACCATTTATTTACAAACTCCTGGAAGTCCAGGCTGAACACGCCATGGGGCAGCTTGGGCGGTGGCTGTAGGGAGAGTAGTAGGCGGTCAGCCATGTGGGCCTGGGCACCTGGCCCCTCCCGGCCACCCTGTGCAGGGGACAATCCCTTTGGGGCTTCAAGTCTGTGCCGCAGTCTCCCAGGGCAGCAGACGACTGGAACTGTATGGAGGGGCCGCCGGCTTTGGGCTGGCCTGGTCACATGTCCCAGGGCGGGGGCCGTTGGACAGGTGGCTACTGTGGTGCAGGGCCAGCCCTACCACTCGGGCGAGGCCCCGTGGCCTCCCTAGGAGGACGTGCCTGCTGAGCCTTGGCATCACTGCCAGGTGCAGGAGACCTGTGTCCTCACCTCTCCCCACCCTGCTCTGTCGCCACCTCATCTCCAGCCAGGGCCAAGCCCCAAGCTGTCCTGGCTCTCCCCAGCTCCCAGGGAGGGGTGGCCACAGAGAAGTGATCAGCCTAGGCCTGGGTCCCCTCTTCACATTGTGTGCTGTCTGTGCGAGGGGATAGCCAGCTGCACCCTTGGCGGGGCTTGGAGGGTGAGCAGCAGGGGACCTACAGAACACGAGACCAGGGAGTCCCTGACTGAGAGCCGGTAGGGGCAGAACTTGGGCGTGGCCTGGCTCCCACATACAGTGTTTGGGCACCGGCACATGTGTCTCCCTGGGAGATGGCTGTGGTGCGAAAACTGGGTTCCTCTTCATTTTAACAAATCCCTTGGAAGCCTGTCTCAACACCTGGGAGGGTGAGGCAGGAGGATCTCAAGATCAAGCACTGGGCACGCACCTCATTCACGATGTAGTCTAGCAGCTCGAAGATGGCCATGGCGGGCCGGCTGTCCATCCCATGACCTGCACAAAAGGGGACAGAAAAGGGGGTGAGGTGGACAGATGACAGCCCCACTCCTGTGGTGGTGGGAGGTCTGAGTATACCAGGTGCTACTGTCCCTATAGAGGCCTCTACTAGTGACAGAGTCCCCCGGCCTGGCCCTTGGGACTGACTTCATCTCCAGGGAGCGACTTCTCTGCTAAGCCAGCCCCTCCATGAATCACCAACCAAACAAAAGAGCCAGGTGTGGTGGTGTGCATGCCTGTCTTCCCAGCACTCTGGGAGGCTGAGGCAGGAGGGTTGCAAGTTTGAGTCCAGCTTGGGCAACTCAGACCCTGTCTCAAAATAAAAAATAAAAAAGGACTGGGAATGTAGCTCAGGGAAAGGCCCTGAGTTCAATCCTCAGCCCTGAAAATGAAAAAAAAAAAGAGCCCAAACAAGCAGGAACATTTTCGAGAAGTCAAACACTTGGCCTGGCGCCGCTTCCGGGCAGTTCCAGAGTTATCCCCCTGCACCATGGTGCCCCAGGCTGGGCGGGGGAGGGGGCTGGCTGCAAGCAAGGACAGCAGAGTGACCTTGCACAGAGCTGCTGCTGGTGACAGCACAGAGCCCAGAAGCCACCTTAGAATGGGGGTGGCTGACCCCTGTCCGAGACCCAGCTGGCCGGGTCAGGGTTTGGCAGCTGGACTTCATCTCCTGCCCGTCCTGACTCAGGCATGCTGGCTGGGGAAGGTGCCACTGTGGGGTGGCCCAGACACCCCCACAAAGCTGGCCTCCCCAAAGACGGAGCTAGGCACCATCTGGGAGTGCGGCAGGGAGGGGCTGGGACCAGCCAAGGATGAGGAGCTGGCACCTCTCCCCTGGGGTGAGGCTGAGACACCTGAAGGGTCTGTCCTCACTTCAGGACAAGAAAGAAACGGGCTGGCCCAGACTGTCACAGTCACCACAGCCCGGGCACAGTAGTGTACACCTCAAATCCAGCACTATGGGAGACTGAGGCAGGAAGACTGCAAGTTGGAGGCAGCCATTGGGCAACTCAAAACTAAAAATAAAAAAGGGTTGGGGATGTCACTCCATGCAAAGGCCCTGGGTTCAATCCCCAGTACTGGAAACAAAAGAAAAAAAGAAAATGATCTCTCAGGACCCCAGGAGCCGCTCCACCTTCCGAGAGCTCCCTGCAGGCTCCCAGTGTGGTGAAGTGAGTGGCATGAGCGTCTCTGGAGATGGGATGAGACTGGGCTGGCTGCTCTGAGTGAGGGCTGCTCCCCTCCAGGTTAAGTTTTTGCATGGGGCCGAACTCCAGCAGCCCCCAAGGTCCTGCTTAGTAAATTTTGGAGTGCGGGGCTCCCTGGAAGGTGGGGCCCAAACAGCCACATGTCCACCATTGAAGGTAGCAGGGGGGGTGCTCCGTGGACAATTATTTTCCTGTATGTTTGAATGTCTTCTCTGCTTCCTTTTTTTTGTTTGTTTGAGACAAGGTCTCACTATGGAGCCCAAGCTGGCCTCAAACTCTTGGCGATCCTCCTGCCTCAGTCTCCCCAGTGCTGAGATTACAGGCGTGTGCCACCACTCCTGGCTCCCTTTTTTTTTCTGTTGTGGTGCTGGAGATGGAACCTGGAGCTTCCCACTGGCCAGTAAGTACTCAGCACTGAGCCACACCCTGGCCTCCTTTTAACCGTTTTCATGATAAATGCTGGAAAAGCCAGCCGGTCAGTCAGCGAGTGGGAGAGCAGCCACAGTCCAGATCCCTCCAGCTGGGCACAACAGGTGTGGACGTGCTGGCCACACCAGGTCTGGGTGCTCAGGGCCTCCAGCTCTGTCCCCAGAAACCCCTGACCATCTGAGGACTGCTGACCAGGCTGCCACGGTCCCAGGGGACAGGTGGCGGGCGCTGAGCAGGGCCAGAGGAGGCAGCTGCCATCTTTCCATCCTGCACAGTGTTCCTGCCTGCAGGGTCACAGCCCGCCCACCCTGACCGACCGGATGTCTGGGGCCTACCGCTGATGGGGCGTCCAGGGGGCCGGGGCCGTGGTGAGATGCTCTGGGGCTGTCCTTCAGTGCTGTCAAGCATTGGCCGGCCGAAGATGGCCTCCAGCTCCTTGGTGTCGGGTGGGGGGATGGGGTACCTGCCGATGGACAGCTCCACCAGGGACAGCCCCATGCTCCAGATGTCCGACTGCACCGAGTAGTGTGTGCCCTGTAGCCGCTCCGGCTGTCGGGAGAGACAGGGCAGGGCTGGGGAGGGTTGGCAGCTGCAGCCTGAGGGCCAGGGAGCCCGCTGGCCCTGCTCTGGATCCAGCCGCCCTCTTTCCATGGCTACAGACTAAAGAGATGGAGGACAGCAAAGCCACATCCCCGCCCGCAGCACTTTTGGGGACATGACCTTGGGATGAGGCTCCAGGCTGGCACTGAAGTGGCTCTTTAGAAGCCCATCGCTGAGCATGGTGGCACACACCTGTCATCCCAGCACTGAGGCTGAGCTAGGAGGATCACTGTGAGTTTGAGGCCAACCTGGGCTACATAGCGAGTTCAAGGCCAGCTTGAACTATATAGGGAGAGCCTGTCTCAAAAAAAAAAAAAAAAAAAAAAGTCCATGCGCAGCCCAGCTGGTGGCACACACCTATAATCTCAGCACTCTGGGAGGCTGAGGCAGGAGGATTGCAACTCTTGGTGTAGCCTGAGAAACTTACTGATTTAGCGAGACCCTGTCTCAAAATAAAGAAAAAGGGCTGAGGATGGAGCTCAGTGCAAAGGCCTTGGGTTCAATGTCTAGTCCAAAAAAAAGCCCATGTACATAGCACTTTTGGCAGAGGGTGACCTCCCATGGAAGGCCAAGGATGCCTCCTTTCTGTGGCCACCCAGCACCTCCTCCCGTGAGCCACCTGCAGGGTCCCAGCTCCCCATCATTTCCCACAACACCCAGGCCCTGAGGTCTGTTTGGAAATGAACCCTGGATGGATGGCACCTCCCCAAGGGACTTGAGGTGAAAGAAGTGCACAGAGGGGAAGCCTGATGGATGCAGAGAACAGCATGCAGGGAAGGCGGCTGCTGGCTGTGGGTGAGGACTCACAGACATGTAGGACCGAGTCCCCACGAAGGAGTTGGCCATGGAGTCGATGAGCTGCCCGCTCACCCCAAAGTCACACAGCTTGATCTCCCCTCGAGAGTTGACCAGGATGTTGGAGGGCTTCACGTCTGGGGACAGGTGAGCGGGGTTGAAGGCGGCCTGCCCAGCACCACCTGGCCACTGGGCTGGGCTTGTGGGGACTCCTTACCTCGGTGCATGATCTGGTGCTTCTCCCGGAGGTATGCCAGGCCCCGGAGTACCTGTGGGCCAAGGGGAGGGTGACGGGTGGCGAAGTGGGGCTCCCACCCTGTTGGACCCCAGCAGACCCAAGTGGCCATAGCATCTGGGCCTGGCTGAGGCCAGGACACAGCCAAGTGACAGGCCACCCCTGGCCGTGAGTAAACGAGCTGCCTGGTCCTCACATAACCCCATGGCAGCCCTGCATGATCAGGGCCTCCGTGTGACAGAGGAGAGGCTGAGTGCATACCTGGCATTCCAGCACTTTGGGAGGCTAAGGCAGGAGAATCGCAAGTTGGAGCCCAGCCTGGGCAACTTAAAGAGACCCTGTCTCAATCAGGCACTAAATAAAAAGGCTGAGCATGTAGCTCAGTTCAAAGGCCCTGGGTTCAATGCCCAGTACCACCCAAACACACAGAAAGTAGAAAGCCTTTGGACTTGGGCAGGGAGTGCAGGACTGGCCTGGAGCGGAGGCCCAGGCTCAATGCACAGGGCAAGCCTGGGAGACTCACCGCAATGCTGACTTTCCCCAGGATTTCTTCAGGGATCCGCTTGGCTTCTTTCAGCACCTGGTCCAGGGAGCCGCCGTCCTGGGAGGCACAGGGAGATGCTGCTGTGATGGGAGTGGGGAGGGATGGGTGGGCAGCATCCCCAGAGGGAAGCCAGGTGGTAGGTACAGTCATGAGGTGCTGCCCTGGGCTGGGGTGAGGTGGCCATTCTGCTACAGGCTGCGCAAGCCAGGCCAGGTTCACCCACAGCCTTGGCAAAGGCCACCTGAGGACACAGAGAAGGGATAGGCCCAGAGCACCTGTGGACCTGTGCACTCTGTAAAGGAAAGAGGGACTGCCAGGGTCAGGACCCAAGCCAAGACCTGGCTCCTCGGCCCAGTTCCCACGTCCTGCAAACCAGCTGCAGAGTCACTGGGCTGGGAGGCAGCGGCCACGTCCAGTGTGGCTTCCCATCCTCCCAAGGCCCCTACTCCCATCAAGGGGATAAGACACCGGCCTGATGCCCAAGGGCCCTGCAGAACAGTGCCCACAAAGGTGAGGACTGGATACAGGGGCACGGAGGCCCCTCCCTATTTCCCACATGCCCACTCGCCACCGTGCCAGCATCCCGCAGATCACCACCTGGTCAGTGCCCCTCAAAACCTGGGGTGTGACCCCAAATCCACCTGTTGAACAAGGAGACAGATACAAAGTGTCTGGCATGGGCTGGCTGGCAGTCTCCCTGGGAACCAAAGCCACATGTCACCTGCCCGACCACCTGCAGGGCCAGCCCCAGGACATAAGGAGGTGACGTGGGCACCTTTGGCTGCGGGCCAGACGCCTGCCGCCTCTGTGCTCCACAGACAGAAAACCAGAATCCAGGAGGTGAAGTTGGGGAGCTGGAACTGTCCCCACAGCACTTCCCTGGGACTCCACAGCATCCTGGCTTCCTGGGACATTTCACTTCAGTTGGGGAAAAGAGCCAGGAAAGGGACCTGTGTCCCCTCTCCGGCCCAAGGAAGCTCTGAGGCCCCTGGAACCCACAGGTGACCCTGCCAAGCAGCTCTGGGTGGAAGGTGACAGTCACATGGGCAAATGGACTGTGGGTGTGGCCTAGGCTGGGGAGCCGGGGAGGAACCAAGCCAGCCATGCTTCCAGGGAGCCAGTCGAGCCGGGTGAGCAGGGAGTGCCCTGTCGGGGCTGTGGACAGAACCCAGGGCCTTGCCACTGAGCTACAGCCCCAGCCTTTTGATTTTTCCTTTTCTTTTGAGACAGAGTCTTGCTAAGTTACTACCTTGCCCAGACTGGGCTTGAACTCTTGATTCTCCTGCCTTAGCCAGGATTACTGCCTTTGGTTTTTTGTTTGTTTTTGTGTTTTCTGACACAGGACATGTAGCCCAGGATGGCCTTGAAATCACAGTGATCCTCCTGCCTCAGTATCTCAGTGCCGTACCACACCCAGCTTGTTCTTTGTTTCTAACAACCTTAGAATTTTTTAAAAACCTTGGTTTTACTTTAAAACTGTAACCTCTGCTCTCTGACACACCTTCTCTCATTCGAAACTGTTCCCAGAGTTGCAACAAATGTCAGCTGGAAGAATGGAAGAAGAGATGGAGGACGTGCACTGGGAGGTGACACCGGGTTGGGACTCTCCTGAGGGTCACAGGCTTCTCCCTGGCCAAGGGGCTAAGGGTGGGTGCCCAGGGCACTGAGGGTGCTGAGCAGTGCCCCAGGCCTCCACCACCCCACACCAGGAGCTCCTGACAGCTACACGTGTCCCCAGACAGGGCCCAGTGTCCCCTGGGGGCAGGACAGCCCTGGTGAGACCCTGACCTACAGCTAAAATACCCTGAGGGCAGCAGGATGAGCGGTCGGCCTGAGTCACAGGGCAGGATGTGACATCAGAGATTTGGCAACCAGGGCTCTGTGACCCTGAATCTCACTGTGTGACCAGGCACTTTGCTCTGTGTGTTTCAAATGCTCTTCAAATTGTACTGCTACTCAGCAGGCAGTGCGAGAGTACAATTCCTCCCTTCCTCAACCTCTCTCTGTCTCTCTCGTGGTTCTGTGGGTTAAACCCAAAGCCTCTGCACTGAACTACATCCCTAACTCTCCCTCTGTTTCTTTCTCTCTTAAATTTACTTTGAGACAAGGTCTCAATAAGTCAGTTGACTGCCCAGGCTGGCCTCGAGCTCTCAGTGATCCTCCTGCCTCAGACTCACAGAATGGTGGGATTACAAGTGTGTACCACCACGCCCATCAAGAGTCAAGACAAATACACAAATGGGCTCACATCAGTGTGTGCTCACATTTCCCCACTGGCCTTGCACACTTAGTAATGTGCTTTGGGGGTGTTCTCAGCACACAGGCTGGTTTCACTCGATAGCAAGAGGTGGCTGTGTCCTCCCATGCCTCCCTGCATAGGAGGGAACACTTCCTCCACAGACCAGACCAGACCCAAGAAATGCTGTGTGGGGCCTCTGTGTGCTCAGTATGTGGGTGGCCACCTGCATGTGCTCCTGTCATCTCACTGCCTGCTGGGGTCAGCCTGAGGTTTTCCACAGGGACCCAACCAGCCCTGCTGTTCCTAAGCTCCAGTCGCCAAGAGGTGCTGGCAGGGTGGGGTGAGTTCCTGTATCAAGTCCTGACTGCCCATGATGCCACAGTTTAGACCTGGGGGTCCCCAAGGCCACGTGCTGGAGGCTGGTCTCCTAGGAAGTGGGGCCTAGTGGGTGATCTTCAGGTCACCCCTTGTGGGGGACAGTGGGACCCTGGCCCCTTCTCTTCCTCTCTTGCTTCCTGGCCATGAGGGGAATGTTTCTGCTCCACCAGACCCTCCTGCCACAACAGACTGCTGCCACAAGTTTAAAAGCAGTGCAGGGGCCGGGGATTTAGCTTAGTGGCACCATGCCTGCCTCGAAAGTTCAAGGTCCTGAGTTTGATCCCTGGTACCAAGGAAAAAAAAAAAGCTGAGGCTGAGGCAGGAGGATCACAAGTTTGAGCCTCGCCTAAGTGTATGTAACATATTGTATTGTGATTAGTTATATCAATCAATAAGTACTATTATAAATACTAACTGTAGGTATTATTATTTTTAATGAGAAGGCCCTTTATAATTAGGAGCTTTTTCTAGTAGGCTGGAGTTGAACTCTAGAAACTGGAAATGAGAGACAATATACACATGGGCTTTGCTGGGACAGAGGTGGAACCTCCTCTTAAATTAGGGACAGTCTAGTTGGGTGTGGTGGTGCATGCCTGTAATCCCAACAATCAGGGGGCTGAAGTAGGAGGATACCATGAGTTTCAGGCCGGCCTGGACTACACAGCGAGACTCTGTCTCAAAACTAACCAAAAAAGGGGGCCGGGGATGTAGCTCAGTAGCACCGTGCCTGCCTGGAGAGCACAAGGTCCTGAGTTCAATCCCTGGTAACAACAACAACAAAAAGATTAGGAGTATTGCTATGGCCTGGGGGTAGCTTGTCCCCTATAAAACTGTGGAAGTGGGTCTCTAATGGAGCAGTGCCAAGCGGAGGTGGGAGACACTGGGCCAGGGAAAGCCCTGATTACAGAGCAAGCCGTGCCCCATGCCCTCACTTCTGCAGGAGCCCAGCTCCCGCCTCCCACTGTCCAGTGTCATGATGAGCCTTGAAGCCCTCCTGGAAGCTGGCAGACACCTTGCCACACTCCTGGCCTCCTGGCTCCCAGAACTGGACACCGCATAATCCTTCTCCAGTGTAAGTCAGCTGCCTGTGGTCTTCCATCCCAGCAACAGAAAAGGGAGCATGATAGGTGCTAACAAGCAGGTGGCACACGCTGGGAAAGGTGGAGAAGAGCTGGGGGTGACAAACCCACACGGGGCACTGGGGACAGCAGCAAGACCAGGGTTGTCACCTGTTTAACACTCTGCAGGTGCTGGGCACCACCTGAGGCCTAGCCCACCCTGACCACAGCCTGATGGACACTAACACCAACCTCAGGCCACACAGGAAGCCATGGGGCCTGGGCCTGAGGTCACGAGGCGGGCTTAGCCCCCCCTGGTTCCCCCCAGTGAGGAAAAAGCTTGGGATCGAGAAGGGCAAAGGGATCCCTCCAGATTGGCCTGGCCTCACACGCCAACCCTCGCCAGTGCTTCGAGATCAGCAGCCTCTGTGCTTTGTAATAATCACAAATCCTAACAGTAGGAAGCAGGGGTGTGCAGAGCATGCCCCTCTTTAAAAAATTATTTGCTCGTTCATTCATTCATTCAGTCTGAGGATGGAAACTAGGGCCTTGAGCATGTCAGGCAAGTTGAGCAGCATCCCCAGCCCTTTTTATTTATTTATTTAGTTTAAGACAGGATCTCACTAAGAGGCTGGGTTCAAACTTATGACTCTCCTGCCTCAGCCTCCCAGAGTGCTGGGATGAGGACATGCCCCAGCACACCTGGCCCACGTGCACACTGTACATATGGCTTCCTGTCCCAAATGCCGGGCATCACCATGAAGCAGAAGTCCACAGGTCCTGAGAGGGGCCTGTGGCTCCACAGTGGTGGCGACATTGGCTGGCACACAAGGTGGGGGGCAGGATGTAAAGTTCTCCTCTCCTGCAGGGAAGAAGGCCTCAGGGAGCAGGCACTGCAACCCCCAGAGCCCTCTCCCCTCCCTCTGCCTTTGGCCCTCCGAGACCCGAGGACTGTGCAGACACCCCATCCCCAGGGAGTCAGGGTGGAGGCTGGGGCCCCACAGCTAAGAGGGGCTCTTGCTCAAACTCATTTCCTGCCTTCCTCACAAAGCCGTCACCGAGGGCTTCACGTGGAACTGTGACCTGACCCTAGCCGACAGCTACCGCATCCTGGTTTTGCAAGGAGAGCTGGCGGCATGGCTGCTACCTGCTGCCACGGTCTGCATGTGTGGCGGGGGGCGGCACTTCCTCTGGGCAGTGGTCGCTGACCACTTCTGCTTTTGGTGCACTCGATCCCACCCAGTTCGAGGCTTCATAGCCACCAGGGGTGCAGAAAGACAGGTGTCTGCACCCCCACCCAAGCCTGAGACCCCACCCAGGCAGGCTGTCTAAACAGCTCCTGAGGTGCCCACTTCCCTTGGAGGGAACAGCAGCAGCTTTACCGTCCCAGGCACACTCGTCCTGAGTCCTGAGTCCCGTCGAGGCCTGGTCTCTAGGCTGCAAGGTACCTGCCCCACCCTCACCCAGCGGCCCTGCCCCTCACCATGTGCTCCATGCAGATGCTGATCTCCCCGTCGCTGTAGAAGGCCCCGTAAAAGCCCACAATGTAGGGTGAGTTGCACTCGTGCAGCACCTGCAGCTCTCGGATGATCTGGTTGCGGATGGCTGGCTTGATCTCCAGGTGGATGAGCTGCAATGGCAAGGAGGCTGGGGCGCTCAGGGGTGCCATGAAACAGAGGGCAAGGTGGGTGGCTGTTGGTCTTCACAAGGCCAATCAGGACCAACCCAGCTGCTGGTAAGGCCACTTCCAGGTGTGTGCCCAACCAAACCTCTGCCATCAAGGCCCATGATGTCACCCTCCATGACAGCAAAAGGGGACAATCCACATTCTAAAAACAGGTGGATGATGGAACATCACTCGGCCAGGAAAAGAAGGCTGTGGATGGACCTTGAGGATACTGTGCTCAGTGAGAGACACCAGACACAAGAGGACACAGCAGGGGCTCCATGGACAGGAAACGCCCAGGACAGGCAACTCCAGAAACAGGAAGTGGACTCGGGGGTGCTGGAGCTGTGAAGGAGATGGGTGACTGTTCATGGAGACAAACAGGGCTTCCTTCTGGGTTGGTGGAAATGTTCTAAAATTGACTGTGGTAATAGATACACAATACTGTAAATATCCTAAAAAAGAAAAGCCTTTGAGCTGGATGTGATGGTTCACTCCTGTAATCCCAGTATTCAGAGGCTGAGGCAGGAGGACTGCACATTTGAGCCCAGCCTGGGCAACACAGAAACCTAACAAACCCTATCCCAAAATAAAAAGTAAAAAAAGACCTCAGAATATAGCTCAGTGCGAGGGCCTTGGATCCATCGCTGGTACTGAAACAAAACAAAACTCCAAGAGCTATATACGTTAAAAGTGGTCCACTAGGGGCGGGGATTTAGCTCAGTGGTTCCGCTGCCTGCCTCGCAAGCTCAAGGTCCCGAGTTCAATGCCTGGTACAAAAAAAAAAAAAAAAAAAAAAAAAAGTGGTCCACTGGGCAGTCTGTGAGTTATATCTCAACAAGCTGTCAAACCCAGCTGCCTCAGATGCCACAGACAAAGGCAGGCCGGCCTCCTTTCCTCCAGACTGAGACCTGGCCTCAGGGTCCCTCCAGAGGCTTCTAACTGCCGCTCCACTGGAGCCCACGTGGACAGAGAACTGCCATCAAACTTACCACCCTTCCAAATGTAGGAAGCCAAAGGAGCCCCTGGAGACTCAGAAAAGATGGGATAAAAACGCCACAAGCCACCCCCAGCCACCAAGCCCAAGGGAAGGAGAACCCTGGCACTGTGGGGAGGACCTGGGCCAGGTGAGGCTCAGGGGCGCCAGCTGTGGCAGACTCCCCTCCTCTGCCGGGGAGGTGAGGCGGGGGGCGGTGTCTACAGCGTTCACCCACTGCTCAGACACCTGCAGTCAGGTCTGAGAGAGAGCAACTGAGGGGGCGTGTGCTCTGCAGCAGAGCAAACTGGGTCAAACACCACGAGGGCACACATCACCTCGGTGCCGGACGGCAGCACAAAGGTGACACTGGGGGCAGCTCTACAAGGACACCGCCCTTAGGAGTCACCAAAGGGACGAGGTGAGGGACAAAGAGCTGCCTGTCAGAGGGCACCAGGGGCTGGTGCAGCATTTGGGGGCAGAGAGGCTGAGCGTGTCTGTGACAAGGGGTGTCCAGGGAGCGCCGGGACCTCCCTGCCCTTCCCCAGTCAGATCCTCATGGCTTTGGTTTGTGATTGGCACATGCTGAACATTCAAAAGGGCACCAGGAGAGCGCTCCACAGGCTCAAGGGGCTGCAAAAAGCTGGCCGGTGGGTGGGCAGTGTGGACAGTCCAGGGCAGCAATGTCCAAGGAGATACAGTGCAAGCCCAGCATTTAATTATAAACCCCTTAAAAAAGGCCATTGTGGTGGCACGTGCCTGTAATCCCAGCACTCTGGGAGGCTGAGGCAGGCTGAGTGCAGCCTGGACAACTTAGCAAGACTCTGACTCAAAATATATAAAAAGGGCTGAGCTGGGCACAGTGGTGCACGCCTGTAATCCCAGCACTCAGGAGACTGAGAAGTTTGAGGCTAGTCTTGGCTACATAGTGAATTCAAGGTCAGCCTGAAATGCATAGCAAGACCCTGACTCAAAAAACAAAACAAAACAAAGCTCAAGGTCTTGAGTTCGATCCCCAGTACAAAAAAAAGGTCTCATTTACTATTATTATTTTTGGTACTGGGGATGGAATTTAGGACCTTGTGCTTTCGAGGCAGGTGAGGTGCCACTGAGCTAAATTCCCCTGGCGCAAAAAAATAAAAAGGGCTAGAAGAGTAGATCAGAGGGAAGGTTCTCTAATATAAGTGAGTAAATAAAAATCATCTAAGAGTGGCGTGCATCTATAATCCCAGCACTCGGTAGGCTGAGGCAGGAAGATTGCTGCAAGTTCAAGGCCAGCCTAAACTACTTAGTAAGACCCTGTCTCAAAACAAAAACAAAAACAAACAAAAACCCCACCAAGAGGAGTGATTTCATTTCACCCATAGGTTGGGCATTTCTAATCTGAAAACCTAAAACTTTGTTTTGCAGCACTTGGTGGTGGTAGCTGGTGGAACCCATAGTCTTGCACATGCCTGGAGACGCTGACCACATCCCCAGTCACCTCTGAGCACTGATGTGACACTCAAGCAGTTTAGGATTTTGGAGCATTCTGGATTAGGAAAGATGGGAGCTGGGGACATAACTGCCTGGCAAGTTCAAGGTCCTGAGTTTGATTCCCAGTACTGAGGAAAAAAAAAAAAAAGAAGAAAGAAAGAATGGATTAGGAAAGCTAAAGTTACAAAAGCTATGCAAATATTCTAAACTCCAAAAAAGTATCCTGGTAGGGCACGGTGGCACATGCCTGTTATCCTAGCACTCAAGAGGCTGAGCAGGAAGATCACAGTGAGTTCGAGGCTAGCCTGGACTACATAGTGAGACTGTTTCAAACAAAACAAACAAGACACCCAAACTGGAAAAACTTCTGGTCCCAACCATGGGATTCTATCCCTGTATTTTACTGAACCCAATATATCAAAGAATTACTACTTTTTTTTTTTTCCTTATTTTTGGCAGTGCTGGGGATGGAATCCAGGGCCTTTGCACTGAGCTACATCTCCAGGGCTTTGTATTTTGTTTTTGTTTTTTTCAGACAGGGTCTCTATTTGTAATTCAAGCTGGTCTTGAACTCACTATGCAGGGATTTGGCTCCTCTGGCTCACAGGAGTACACAGGAAGAAATCAAAGGCCACAGTAGAGAGTACTATGTAGTCCAGGCTGACCTCAAATTTGCAATCCTCCTGCCTCAGCTTCCCAAGTACTGGAATTACAAGCGTGTGGCACCACACCTGGCAAGCCCTTTTTGTATTTTTTT